TTGTTCTTTTTTAATTAAGCAAGCAAAAGCCCTCCATGTACAATCAAATCATATATAGGTTTGTTCTCGTCCAAATGAATGTAAAAGTCTGTCCACATTAGTGTTTCTTCTTTAAGCAGAGTAGATCTGCACGTACAGTATATTGGAGCCAAACTGACATATGAGCGCACATAGAAGGACGTGTGTGCTTGTTTTTATTAGGAAGTAGAGTGATGTATAGTGTTATTAGGTGAAGGGGTGGATGAAGTGGATCTGTATTATGTTAGGGGGTAACAGTTTAGGACCCCAGGACCAGATGTTTGAAAGAAACCCAGAGTCATAATTATTATAAAGTAAAGAAAAGTTTTCTGATTGGCTAAGAACACATATAGTCTAAGCAAATTTCCACACATGGATATATAGGAGAGTATGTCACCAATAATCGAGATGGTTGTCGCGCGATTCGTAGATTCAAGTCTGCGGTGACCTCGGAGGTCGGAGAAAGGCATCTCCGGGTCTGTTGTTGCATGTCGAAGTGCCCCATTATAGCCCATAGTCCCAACAAGACCTGCACAGAATCGCAGTTTCTCCAAGGCTGAAGAGGGCCTGAGCTAACTATCATCAGGACAACATCAAGACATACCTTGGAAAACATGACTTTAGTCATCGTTTTCATAATGAGGAGGAATTTTTTTTTTAAATATTTTTTGCTAAAAAAAAAAAAAGGCAAGAAATTAATTGAATTTGGCCAAAATGCTTGCTTTTTATTTTGTGTATCTGTTATGGCTGATAGTTTTTAGTTACAGTACATAATTTGAGTTTGAATGCTAAAATCAAGGTCAGACGGTGGATCCTATCTCTGAAACATGATTTTTTGCTGGTGATTTTGGCTAACGGGCCATTGTACAGTAATGGTCGTTTTATATTCCAGCATGAAATATTTAAACAGTGTCCATCAGCCATTGTTTGTTCAATCTTCAGACCCTTAAAATGTCATCAATTATTTAAATGGATGTGCAGTGCATAAATATCAGCCTTTATGCTGTTTTTCTTTTCATTTCTGAAGGATGTAAAAAAAACACACTGTTATGACAACACCTCGAGAGATATCATGGCTTGCAAATGAGCGAAACATGGCCGTTGAAAACATGGCCCATCTCTTTCATTTCATAGCCAACTTATACGATCAATAAGTTATGATAACATGTTTTTTAAAATGCTTTGACTAGTTGGAAATTGAGTTATACAAGATTCAGTTTGTGATTTAAGTTGAAATTACTTATATATCCAAGTTGATTGTACTTAAATTGAAGCCAGCAATTTTTTATAGTGTGCACAGATCCATCATATCCACGTCATATAATACAGTAATCTGTAGTTTAATTTAGTTTTTATATAAAAAGGGTGTTTAATCGTCATTGAACAAAGATGAAACACCTGTTTAGCGCCAATGCCGAAAAAGCTTGTTAGCTTGGTTGAATACTGATTCAATAGCTGTTTGTCGCTAGACTCTCACTAACCTCCCCCTGAACTGTGCTCATTTTTCCTCTAATCTTGGCGTCTCACTGCTGTAATCACCTCGTTCAGAACGATGGCGCTGCTCGAACGGCCCGGCTTACAGGGTCATTAGAACCAGGTAAATTATTCATCACAAAATGTGCCATCAAAGTGGAGCGTTAAGCACAGTGTTTTGGTCCTGCCAAGAGGCACAGTCATGTCTTAATGTCCTCCTTCATTAAAATCTTAAACTTTTACAATCTAAGGCAAAGGTTGATTTTTGTATTTATTAAAATTTGATCCAATTAATTACATATGCTTATAAATCAAGTCATCACATTACAATATGTTGTAATATATATTAGTCCTCAAATGGCATATGCACACAATCAGATATTTGCATAAATATTTATTTTTTATTCCTATTTGTGCATCAATGAAAATGCATTATTTATTATCTACTATTATTTTATATATGTATATGTATCATTTATTATATTTATTTATTTATTGTGTGTGTTGAAGAAAAAAGAAAGTCATAAAGGTTTGAAATGACATCAGGGTGAGCAAATGATGACAGAATGTTCATTTTTGGATGAACTGGATGATTTGGATAACTTTCAATGTCTTTCAGTGGCAGTGTTAGCTTGATGCCTTGGCACAAACCCATGACAAAAGCCTTGTAATGGAGATATATGTAATTAAACCAGGTGGAGCTTGAAATTGATGTATCAAGTTCACCGTATTAGCCAATTATAAAGTTATTTTCAGTCGCATGACCATGGCGTGACCATGTGGAAAGAAGGACATAAACGCTGTGATAGGTGAGATAATCAAGATTAATTGAACTAATGTTCCTGAAGAACTATCCCATTTACTAATTTTCTCAGTTGCTGAGCACATCACTTAATTAAAAGGTAATTCGTCTTCCTGTACACACACAACATGTCATTCCTTATATCAATTGTGACGTTATGTGGTTGGAAATTAATGGAGTGTGAATTGGTTTTCTTGATGGGGCAAATGCTAGTGTACAGTGTCCTTGCTCTAGATGAAAGTTATGGTTGATTAAATGAGTCTCAAGTTGAAGTTCTTACATGAAATGTCATCTTCCAAACAATGCCTTTATAGAAGTTGGAGATATGAAATAAGAATATTCCAACTTTGAATGGAACACAGCTTGAAATGTGAAGATAATTAGTGTCATGTTTATTTAAATGATGGGTTATCAGATCCACTGTACTTTGCAGTGAACTGATGTTATATTAGTTGTAATGCATTTCTTTTATAATTTGCTTGTCTTTTTAATTGAAGTACTACACAAATGATGTCTACTGTCTGAAACAGGTTTAATATGTTATATAAATTCATATTTTCAAATACAGTTCAAATATTAACACAATAAGTTAATTACCTAATATTTCTATTTAAAATTTCCGAATTTTTCATGTTTTTTCTTTTTTTATATACTGTAGTTAGGATTTTGACATAATTTATAAAGTCTGAAACAGTAGTAATATTTTACTTAAATTAGTATTTTAGTATTTCTTAGTATTTGCTATTTTGGTTTTTATAATTGTTGTATTTAACATGTCAAAGAAATATTATGGCACATCCAACACTGCCACATGATATCACTAGGTAGGTTATCTTGCCCTCGGTTATTGCTTGCCCTCTCAGTGTGAACTGCAAGTGTCCAAAATGTTCACCGTGTCTCACCAGGCTCACGGTGAAATAGTGAGACCAGATGCAGCACAGATGCTGACCTATTCGGTACCTACCGCTCTAATGCCGCATAATTTAGCTCCTGTGTAGGTGACAAATGGGCCAACTCTAAAAGCCCCTGTGTTGGGTGCTAAAACCCCCTGTGATATATAACCATGCAAGTCTGATAAATCCCCCACATCATTCGTTCTGTGACGGCAATTCATCACCTGTGGGAGTTTAGCGTTGGCATTCCTATTGGATTTTTAATGAAAGGGAAGATAATGTGACATAAAGTCAATGAGTTTTGTGATTTTTTTTTTCTTTTTCTTTTTTCTTTTACAAAATCCCACCCACACACAGGAAAAAAAAAAAAAAACACTTTTAAATCATATTTCACCTCCTCAGACAAATACCATTTCTTGGGGCAGCCTCTGTAATTTGAAATGAACTTTTTCACTCAACAGCCATTTTGGCTTCAAAATGTTTAAGTTACCAGGTATTCAGAACTTCTACTAGCCAAAAATAAACCAGATTTTCAAAGTCACATCTTAGATTTAAATATATTTTATATAAAAATGACGTGGCACGTTGCGTAACGTTCCTTTTTACACGTTGGTTTGCTAATGTTTGAGGCTCCTTTAAGAGGTACGGCTCTGATAGTGAAGTCATGCAAAGTGATTTAACATAATTTATGAATCATAACCTGCCAAATTGGTTAGTGTGTTGATATGCGTTACCCGGCCGCCACTGTGACGAGTTTCACCTGCATTTGGTGGGTTGTTGTGTGATAATATCGTTAACTGAAAATTTCCCTTCATTGACTGATTTTTTTTTTTTTTTTTTTTTTTTGGTGACGAAAAAGCCTCCAGAGCAAAATTAAAACTGCTACAAGAAGTCGTCTGTCCCAAGCAAAGGACAGTTGCCTCTGAATCAGTCTCCCTTAATGCATTTGGTTACGCACAGGCGAGCACCAAATGTAAGTCCATGCGGACCAAGAGGAAGGTTTGAGTGCAGACAGATACAGAAAGACGATTGAGTTTAGTTCAGGTAATTTTTTATATGTTTTCTTCATATTGTAATTTTTGTAATATCGCGTTGTCATATTTCCCTGTTTAGGCTACATTCATCTAGTGTGGTGTTGAACATGAAAAGTGATGCACAGTCTCTCCTCATCTGTTCTCTTCATAAATAAATAAATGCATAATCTAGTCTCGTAAGTTCATGATTAAAAATGAAAATGTGAATGAAAACAAAAGCTATTAAATGTCTCATTACCATTAAAATCTGAAAATTAAAATGACGTAATTTTTACGACTGTGTCAAAATGATCAACAATGAGAAAGTCTAACGCAACCACTTTCAAACAAACCAGCTTTCTGTTGGTCAACACAGATGCCCTCATGTAGAATCCTATTGAACTGACTGGATTTTCTTCTGTTTGTCTTCTATATTGACAGTGTAATTAGCCAAATGAAGACATTCAGTAAAACACTTGCAATGAAAACAAGTTGTCATTTTCTGTATAAATGTATATTTTATCACAAAGTGTTGTACATGTGTACTCTTATGATCTATTCTACAAAGCGTAGTCCATCATAAACTTGACATTGTTTATTTTACCATTGATACAGCACAAGTAGTGTTGCTACAAGCCCACAATAAAAACACTCTGAGGCCTCTGAGGCTTTGCACTCTGTTTAAACAATCATGCCCAACCTTTCATATGCTGTTCTTTGATCCTGCACGAAAGAGTATTTCTCTTCATGCTCCCCTGTGTAGTGTGACATTTAAACAATTAGTGGCTTTTTGGTAATCAATGTCAGATTTAGCAAGAAATGCCTTGGACCGCAAACCACAACGGAATCCATTTAAGAATGATCCAGTGGTGTGAGTCTGTATCAGATTGAGAGGGATATTAGTCACACAGTCCAGTGTCCAGTGCATCCCAAACCATTTGTCATCTTTCAAATTGAGATTTTTGTCAAGTCTGTTTCTGAATCATTGGCTTTAGCAGCCCTAGACCCCCAGATTGGTTTGGTGTGTGACGGTAATATCTCAGACTGCTGATTTCGTAATTTCCTGTAAAAGTGATCACTCCTCTGAAACATGCAAATGAACGAACAGACCATTGCAGACACAATGAGGAGAAGTGCAGTGATGCTGATTATCAGTCCGTCATCGATACCATCATCAGTCTTTCCTATTAAAATCTCAGTGGTGCTGACATTCAGGCAGTTTTTCAAATGTCTGCTTTGCAGGTCCGTAATTTCCACACACACCTCGTACTGCGTCAGCGGGTGCAAGTGTGTGAGGTTGAACGTTTTTACGTCGGACAACACGTGTGCCGTGAACTGCAAGGAGCGACGCTGTGATGTGGTTGACCACTTAATATTTGACACAAGACTGCCCTTGGGAGGCACCCAAGAAATCCTCACCGAATGTGGCTCGGTCCCTTCGACTTGGATGTGCAGGGATTCATTTGCCAGCAGTGGATAGTACCCGTTTACTACTACCGAGATGGATCTCATGTCGGCACCTATGAGATTGTGGGCCACGCAGGTGTACTGCCCAGCCTCATTTTCTGCGATGCCATAAATGTCAAACGTTCCCTCGGGATGCAGGCGATACTTCTTGGAAACCATCTGAGGCAATATTTTCTCTCCTGAAGGTGTGACCCAGTAGATCTCAGGTTCGGGATCGGCAAACGCCCTGCAGTGCAAAGACACAGAATCCCCGCTACCCACGTTAAGCTGATCGGGAAGGCTTTCCGGGGATATCAGTGGCAGGCACATATCTGCCATTTCACGGGAGTGCACATGCCTGACAAGACGACCTTCAAACTCTGAGGGCCCTGCGCATATGAGGGCATCCGGCTCCATGAAGCGGACGTTGGTCTTGTTCGTATTGATCCAGCGGATGACACAGTCGCAGTAAATGGGGTTGGTATGCATGCTCACCTCCTGAAGGTTAGGCAAGGATTCCACCGTGATGTGATGAAGGGCCCGGAGCGCATTGCTATTCAGCATCAAGGACTCGAGCCTCGGGAGTTTGGAGAACGCGTTTGGATGGATGTAGGAAAGTCGGGGGTTGTTCGTGGCTTCGATTTTGGTCAGCTCTGGTAGATTATGCATGGCAAAGCTGTCGATTGAAACCAACTCTGGCATGCTATTAATACCGAGTTCTTTCAAATGGAGCATGTCCACAAAGTCACCCCTTTTGATCCTCTCTATGGGATTCTTGTTAAGGTCCAGAAACTTGAGGTTCAGCACTTTTCTGAGAGCAGCTTGAGGTACTTTTGGAAACATATTATCATAGAATGACACGCTTTCCAGCTTATCGAGGCCAACCAGGGCACCGTCAGGGATTTCAGTGAGGTTCATTCTGGTTAGCACAAGACAGCGGAGATTGATAAGGGGCTTGAAATTCATGTCTTGTATTCTGGCAATTGGATTCTCTCCTATCATCAAGATTTCTAACTGGAAAAGATCCCGGAACCACTCTGTTCTTATGGCCCTCAGCTGGTTTGAATTAAGATGGAGCCTCAAGAGCTTGTTAAGCCCTTGGAAAGCCTCTGCGCTGATCAAGGAGAGTAGGTTATGGTTAACATAGAGTTCCTGTAAGTTTGGGAAGTGTGCAAGACAATTATCATGAAGACTGCTTTGCCAGTTCTCCTCTAAGTGCAAAGACAGAAGTTGTGGAAGGTGACCCAGATGAACATCACTCAATGAGGATATGTTGTTTCGAGATAGGTCTACCTCGGTTAGGTTTACCAGGTAGTCCAAGGGACTGTCGATCTTTGCGATGTTGTTGGCCTGTGATAGAAGTACTTGCGTGTCTAAGGGCAACCTCTCGGGCAGAGACAGAAGTCCTAGATCATTACAGTCTACAGTCGGAGCCTCATTATACATGGACGAGGGGGAGAACCAGGGTCGGACTTCACATTTGCACAGCTTGAGGCACACAGCCCTCCACTCAGAGGGCTGAACTGAGTTAGTCAGCGCAAGTCCTCCCAGCAAACAAACTGCAAACAGCAAATCTTTCATCTTGGTCCTACTCTCTTCAGCCTGTAATTGGTCCTTACGGGGTCTGGTGTTAGAGGTGTTAAATTCACAAATACAGAATCATTTGTTATGACAACAGGGTGTATTTCTGCTGATGGCAAGTCCCCCCCCAAAAAAAAGCTGCAAGTTTGCCTGTTGTCGTCCTTGGTGGAGAGTTGCAACCTTTCAATTTACCCTGCTTTGGGTTGTCGTGCATGTGAATGTCAGTGTATCCTTAGGGGAATGGAAGCCGGGAATGTGGAAATTTGCAGGGTGAGCTCAGGTTCCTGTGGGGAATGGACCACTTGTCTGCCATCGTTATTATGTTCAATCAGTCACACTCGTCACTTTCCATCTGAGGAAAATAAGAGACAGGAGAGAGTTAATGAATACGGTGTCACATTAACGTCAAGAAGAGCCATATTGGCATTTAGGAGCATGACGATATATTTAGGCCGTGTGAGTGAATGTATTATTGCTTTTTTGTGCCATCAAATAATTCATTATTGCTGGTTTGACCTCATATGTCTACCCTTCTAACATATATCAAAGGACTTTCTTCACAATATATTAAAATGCCAGGGGACTTTTATGTGCATGAGGGCAGGTGTTAAGAAAATGTGCATGGATCACCACAATTGTTTAGCTTATGACAGAAGTGTTTTTGCGTATAAGAGCATTAGAATGCAATGCCGTCTTATTATTAATGTCATAGATCATTTTGTAAGATAATGTGTGGAGAAAATGTGGTTTATTTGGAAACTGACTGTTCATTCCTACGCTATGATGTGTTATGAATATAATCACTTATTTTAACTGTATTTATAAGGAATCCAATTTAACAACTGTGATTCCTGTCATGCGTAACACATTTAATTTGTGTTGTAAATCTCTTTCGAACTTGGTATCCAAGCATACTAAGGGCATTGCTAACATTGTTTTTTATTGTCTCATAAATAGACATTAAAGCCAGCTGAATGCACAGAGGGGCAATTATTCCACAATGAAGTGCTATCCCAAAGGGCTCTGTGATAACCACTGTATTTTGTCTCTCAGTGGCAGCTGCCAGTGGCAGAGTAAGTTAATTAAAACGTTTAAAAATGTGCCCGTGAACTGCTTTGTACCTATTGTATGGTTGAGTAAAACTATTTTTAAAATGTATTAAACAGTGAGCAGCTTTGTGTGCATGAAATATTTTTCTTGTGCAAGTGGTCTGTGTTTTTTAATAGCATTTAATATAAATATTAAATTCAAAACTCGATTACAAAAATGGATTGACTGTTTAAGGTTTATGTTCAATGACATTGATTGACAGCTAATCTTAATATACAGATTTGAGTGCTTACACAGAATTGTTGCTAGGTCTTACTCCATATGTTAAAACAATGATTGGTTTGCAACCTTGAGGACAGAAAGCACAAAGCCGCCTGGCTGTGTTAGATGAAGCTGTCAGTATCACTATAGGAACAGGTTTGCAAAAGAACCCCTGTAGGACAGTGTGCTTATGTTAGTCCGACTATGGCAGCGAGTCAACACAAGCAGGTGGGAGCACTTTTTTTCTCTCCTTTCTGCTTGCATAGCCATCTGTTTGGTCCTGTATTCCGCTTTTTGCCAGGATTGTGCAAAGATCCCCATTCATCCCAATGACCGTACAAATTATGAGGTTTTAAACTTGTTTTAGAAGCTGCTTATTCTCTGATGTATGAGAATTAGGTGCTGTGTTGCCATGTTGAAGGGAGACTAACAAGCAATAAGTATAGCAAAAACATCACTGCATTGCGCACAGCTTTTAAGTCAATCAAGATGTCAAAATCAGATGTGCTCTTCTAGAATTTTACTTTCTCTTACACAGTGTTGGAAGGTCTGATTTGTTTCAATGAGATCAAAATGAAATGACTCACTGATTGAAATTGATCTCATAATTAAATATATATGAAGTCATAAATACATGTCTCGTGATTTAAAGCAGCTTCCCCAGCAAAATAGCTGAATTATTTAACGGATAATAAACTGCCGTTATCTGTAGAGAACATGCATTACTTGACTCTTTGTTGCTATGACAAGCGCAGCATGGATGCACCGAGCTGAACATAAGTGTGAACAAGTAGTGATACACACACAAGGACACATCTCGCTTGCTCTCTCTCGCTCTCCCATTTGCGTCCATTTAGTTTTAAGAGGTTTGCACTGAAGATGCACTCGCATATTAATTTGATTTGTTCATATGTGTGCTTCTTAACTAAGAGAGCCCTCAGATGTGGTTCAGGAGTGTTGTACTCACTTGGGAAATAGGGATTTGAAATAGTGGAGAGTGCTTTTATAGCTGATTGCTGGAAAGGGTCAAAGGGCAGCCCAGTTTACTTGCATCATGGGTCGATACATGCACACAGATGCACAATCTTGCTAGATGTATAATGTACATAAAATGCTGATATGATTAATTGTGGTTAAAAATTGATTGGTTGGATCTGTATTATCACTGGTAAGATGTATAATCCTGAAAGTTAACATAAAAATATGAAATACTTAATAAAATAACTAGGGATGCACCGATATGAAAATTTTGGCCAATTCTTTGTATTTGAAAGCCGATAACTGATATATCGATAAATCTAAATCCAAAAATGTATATAACTTTTGAGAGCCTAATCACAAAAACAAAAGTCTCACCATTAAAAGCCATGTCTCAAGCACAAAATTATAATGTTCTCATTAAAATTTTATGTAGTCTATATATGACAGGCACATTGCATTAACTGTGTTTTTCTATTTATTAAGTTATTCCAATCATATTTCAAACAATTCAAACCCATCATGAGTGCATCTGAAGTGTCTCAGCTGAAGGAAAAATCCATTACTAATTGTCTTTTATAAATCGACCACATTTTTTTATCAGGATGAAAACGATAACATTAAAAATGAACATATCGTCCGATATCGATATGGTGGCCGATATATTGTGCATCCCTAAAAATAACTAATTAAAAAAGGTGACTTTAGAAAGCCATATTAATTTGTAATAATATCACATTTTAAGTTAGTTATTTTATATTAGTGTGTCTTATTGAGATTATTATATAAATGTATTATTATTTGTAAAAAAAAATTGTTTCAGTAATAAAATTAATAAAACAAGTTTCAGTAATAAAATTGTTTATTACTGTGCGTATTACATGTTCAGTCTATGGACGTGTCGTTTTTTTGTTGTTGTTTTTTTACAAAGTGACATCGCCACCTACTGGCCTGGAGGTAGAATTCAGTGTTTTTTGTCGTTTTTGCGGACGACGTCTGTACGTAAAGAAAAAATGTTTCAGATTTTAGTACATCGTTGTCGTGTAAACGTACAATATTTCCAAAAGAAGCTGGATTGAACTGGGATTGCCCTTCCCAAAGTTAAATCTGTCAAAATCCATCCTGTCAGTTTTTTATTGGAAGTTTGTAGTGTTTTGTCTGAACAAGACCAACAGCAGCTCCTCTGTCTATCTGCATGAAATCACACACTTTTGTTGACAGCTGGTCCTCAAAAGTCCAACCACTTAGGGAAAATACTGAATGAAACTAACACACACAGACACATACTCTCTCCTTTCCATCCTCTCGTCTAATTCAACAGACCCCACATAAAGTGGCCCTGCTGCGCTATGTTTTATTCACAAAGATGGAATGAATAGAAATCTCACCGTACTTGGAGAGCGGGACAACGTGCTCTTAGTGAAGCGGGGGGCGGGGGGACATCACGAATTGGAGGTGACACCTTGTCACATTACGATGTCATAACGCAGACTGCGAAACGCTTTCCCCTCAGGTTTGTGTTTAGGGAGTGGAGTGGATCTGAGCGGGCTGCTCAGGTTTCGTTTCATACCGCACAGTGAGTGAAAGCAAGAGCGAAAACCGTGTGTGGCGGGCAGAATACTTAAAAACACAGCAGAGGCAGACTCTAGTGACTGAAGTTAATGGATTATACATTTAGCCCTTCACCAATTGAGTCCACCTGCGTGGTTACAGGTCCACTTCTACTTTGGCTTCAATAACAGAAATATTATCTGTAGGAACAATAGAGACAATAGTTTCCGTTTCAACCTTTCACTTTGGGTTGAATTCATTTACAGATTCTGTAGCTGTTTGATCAAATTTGTCTTTTTCTATTAGTTAACAAGTTGACTTGACAGTGTTACACACAACTACAGTAGTAATAATCACACTGTAAATATACCAGAAAATAGTTGTTTTTTTTTCCAATTCTGTACTATTCTATTCTACTCTACTCAATTCTATTATTCGTTTGTGCTATTTTCTTATCTATTCTAATTTGTTCGGCTCTGCTATGTTCAATTCTGTTCTGTCGAGTTGTATTTTATTCTGTTTTTGATTATGTTCTGTTATCAATTTCTGCTCTATAATATTTTGTTCTGCTGTGACAAACATAACTGTTCAATTCTACTCTCTTCTGCTCTGTCAATTCTATTTCTTGCCATTCTGTTTTTCGTATTATCTTCTGTTCCATTCTGCATTCTATTCCGTTTATTTCTGCTGTATTCTGTATTCTATTTTAATTTCTCTGTTGTATTCATTGTTGTTTTCTGTTCTGTGGTATTCAGTTTTGTTGATTTGTTCTATTCTGTTTTCTGCTCATTTCTAATTTGTTCTACTCTGTTTCATTCAGATTATTCAATTATATTGTGTTTTCTATTGAATACTGTTCTATATTCTGTTCTATCCAGTTCTAATGTTCTGTTCCATTCTGTTCTGCTTTGCTCATTTCTACTCTATTTTGCTTTTTCTTTTATTCTGTACCGTTATATTTCTTCTGTTTTGAATATATTCTATTCTCTTCTACTCTTTTGTTCTCCTTTTCTATTTTATTTTGTTTATTCACTAATGTGTTCTATTTTATTTTCTCCTCTGTTGTATTTCTTCTGTTGTATGTTATTCAGTTTTGTTCTGCACTATTCTTGCCGTTGTTCGCTCTGTTATATTCTATTCTTTGTTTGTTCTGATCACATACTATATACACAAGGTAACCAAGTTTATTTCACGAGTTATAAGCTTGGCATGGCCACACGAGTGTGTTTTTCTCAGCGTCCTGTAATATATGAGCATTGTTTCCAATCACACTACATGGTGTCACTTCAAACGCCTGGTGTGAAGTATAATTAGCTAAGATAGTACGCTGACACAGGCACCGATAGAGTGTATGTGTTATATAGATACAGCTCTCACCTGCTCCAAACTGCCCGCGAACACACACTGCACGACAGCAATTAATTATGTTTCAGCACTGCTGACAGAATCCCTATAGATATATCAGCTATTTCTGTCGCATATTCTTCAGCCCTGTCTCAAGATATGTTTTCTATTTTTTTCTATTGTCCCTATTGATTTCTCTCTCTCTCATCGCTCCCATGTTCATACACATGAGGAAGGGGCATGTGCCATTAATCAGAGGTGCTTAGATTATATGTCCCTTTTTTGGTTCCTTCCATGTCCCCTTTTAACCTGTATTATTGCATTTTGATTCCAAACCAAAAACACAATTTTGTATAAATACCACTTATAAACTCCCTGAATGTCCTATATTCCAGAAATGCATTAACTAAAGTAAACTCAAGTTCTAGCCGGTTTGTTTCATACTGCTGCATCATAACCTCTCTTACCAGTTGAAATCCTTTTTCAGTTTGTAGATGAGACATTTTTTAATTTATTCTATTTTAGGCGGCGGGGTTAAACAGTAGGTCTTCTTTACAGCAGAACTGAATGATGTCTTTAAAAATATAATATAAAAAAATAATATAATATATAATATAGCATCTGTGATACACACAGTGATACAGCAAGATGTATGAGACAATTTTATGATGGTTGATAGTGCATGAAATCTATAGGTATATTCTAAAGATTTGCTTTAACGTTTAGGTAACATCCAGGTGAGCATGTGCATGCCAGGAAAAATAGAGTTTGACTGAATGCTGCTGCGTGAATCCTCAATTTTTATGATGAAACATTTATCGAACAAGAAGGCCTATACTCATAACTTTTACTACGATTTTTTTTTCCCAGAATTATATAGCGTTTGAATGTAAAACAGAATACATTCATTCCCACTGACATTTATTTTTCTAAAATCCCTTGCAGTACCAGAAATCAATTCCTCATAATCACTACATCACATTCTCACAGTTATTCCTCCTTGATACCTGTAGAGTCTCTGCGTGAGATTACGACATTTCAAACGCGAATACGCAGAGCTTTCGAGATAATGATTCAAACGGAAGAAGAAGTGATTCTTATACTCATTGGTGCTTATTTAAACATCCAGAGAGACATACAGTAGCCTACGTTTGGTGTAAAAACTCTGCAATGGCACGCTATTAAAATCCCCCAACATCACAGGAATCAGGATGCACATGAGTCATGAGAGCGTGAGAGAGTCGCGCTTACCGGAGAGAATGAGATTCCTTGTTTCAAACGCATAATGTATTCCTTTCTTCTCAATCTCCAGACTTGTGGGGTTATAGTGGTTTAGTTCCAAGTGAATTTGAGCTTTATTTGAGTGAGTGAGAGATGTTGTCTCTCTCCATACGGCTCTACTGGAAAAGATGCTGAGCGCACCGCGGAGAAGCGCGTATCCATCCAGCTGTGTGTGCCGCGCTCCTAATGATACACAGATGCTCGTGCGCGCACCCTCCACACAGTCTCCCCGGGGACAGGCAAATTGCTGCCTGTCGTTCGCGCGTTCGGTGCACGCTGATTGGTCGAGCCGTGCTGTCAGTCAGATGAGGGCTTCGGGGGCGGGGCTACTACATCGCTCCATATTTACATACTTCCACATTCTCTCTATCTTTGCCTTGTTAACTTAATCTCTATTTTGTCGTTGTCTGCACTCTGCCTCCGAGGCTACATCTCTGATAAAGATGCGCTATTTGAATATGCAAATGCTGGTTCTGCTCAGATTTTCCAATATAGGAATAGTTCCTCCAAAAATGAAAATTTTAGATTGAACTATTCATTTTTTTTGTGATGATGTTGGCTGTTTCCGAAATTGTATACTCTCTTGAGTAGGTCATTTTTCCATTTTGTTATTATCATGTGACCTACCAGCATCAGTTACGTCTCTTCAGTGCCATATTCACTTTACTCTCCTCTCCCGTGGCCTCACGGGATAGTAAAGTGTCCATCGAATGCACACTTCAGAATCTCAATGGAAGTTGTTGGTTATCTGGGTACTTTTTGCTTAAACTTTTATGAGTAGGCGGCGGCCTACTGTGAATTTGGACATGTTTCTTTTGTCACACACTGTTTTCACCTACTAAATAGTAGGGAAGTATGTGATTTCAAATGCAGCCATTGAATAGAGCCTGAGTTTTTTTGAGGCTCAAAAAAGTGCACCCATGTACAGTATTTGTCATTCTTCCCCTGGAACTCGCCTCTCTCGTGAGCACACGTACATTGCCGTTGCCAGTGATTATAGTTTAAAATGTTGTATATATGGATACTTTTCTTACAAAAACCCATCACTTCGCTACAGAAGGGAGCCGTGTGGATTACGTTTATGATGGATGAATGAGCTTTTTGGAGCAAAAAATCGGACACTATTCAATGGCATTATAAAGCTGGGAAGAGCCAGCCAGGATATTTTTTAATCCAACCCAGATTGTGTTCGGCTGAAAGAAGAAAGTCATATACACATAGGATAGATTTAGGGTGAGTAAATGGGATATTTTTCATTTTTGGGTGAACTAATAATTTATGTAGTGTCCCAATGTGGATACAAAATTGGTTAAATGACAAAAATCAGTACTGAGATGCATTAAATTCACAGTGATATGGAGTCTATATATATATAGATTACTACCACCAATACTATTTTGGAAAGCTCTGCATAATGACAGCCTTCTCATTTTTTGCACATTTTTCCAGACTGGATAAAATATAATCTTTTTGGTAGCCTTTAGATAAGTCGTTCTTAACACACACTCAACTGGACTCTTGCAGTTACTGCAAAATTTGACTTGACAAATCAAAATATATTCTCCCAGCATGCCGTATGTAACACTTGAGATAAACACTAACAACATTCAGGCCCGCAGAAGTAATGAAAAGCACAAATCAGTCTGAGCGTCAGGGCTGTTGCAGAGGAGATGTGTGTGTGTGTGTGTGTGTGTGAGCTAGAACTGTCTGAATCTTTAACGGCGCATAGGTTCTGACAGGAAGCTTGAAGTGATGTACAGTGGCGTTCAGTGAAAAAATGTTTTTATTATTTAAATCTGAAAATAAATTTTACATTTAAATAAATAAATGAATTTTAGTCTCTTTTTAGGACCACCTAGGTCAACAAAAAATGGTACATATGTTGTTTAAGTTGCCGTAGTCTTTTGCATATTGTGATGTATATATCTGAGTGAAATAACCTCTCAAATAAGACCAAAAATGTTGGGCGGGTTGGGTTTATTTATAACACAAATAAACTTTATTTAATAAAAGATAACCCAAAATTTCGTACTGATATCTAGTAACGTGTTTGGCTTTTATGTGCCTAGATTTTCAAGACATGGTGTTCAAACTGTCACAAAGAAAGTAGGCAATTTCTCACTGAAGTGCTTGCTCAGCACGCGAGAGACGTTTGGCACCAAAGTACACACTTCAGCCGTGAGAAGTCATCTTATAAGAAGTCTTACAGGGTGTGTTGCAGCTGAGAAAGCGTTCTTGCGGAAAGGCAACAAGCAGAAAAGATTACCGTACATGAAATTCCATAAAGCATGGAGTGACAACCAGAGAAAGAAGGTTTCAGAAGTTTGCAGTCTTCCTGAAGACAAGGTTCTGGCTCGGTCACAGTTAGGGTTATTATCGTGGGGATCAGGTCAAAATTGATGGGACAAATATTTCAAACACTTCAGATAAAATACTTACAGAGCTGTGAACTCAACATAAGTGAAGCTGTGTGGGAGTAGAAGACCTGGAAGTTAGGGACATTGTGATTGACAGGCCTGAAATTACATATTTAAAAACTTTTTTCCTTATATTTTTTTTCTTCATGCCTTAAAATAGCTTGAATAGCCATTGCCTGGTTTAGTATATGTGGTTCTATGAATATTCAAATTATCCCCGCCTCCTTTCACTCATGCCAACTCAGAGATTCATTAATGTTGATGATGATCACACGTTGACATGATTTCAAATTGCGTCTTTGGTTTTAAGGAGAAAATTCTCAGTTGACTTATGAACTTGCACATGTTTTATCTTAAAGAATATTAAAAACGCCTTATAGACAAACAACATTTACAAGCTTGATTTTAAAAATTCATGGAAAATTAATTTTATTCCACTGCAATGTATTATGATTATCTAATGTTGACAATATGATAGATCTGTGATATTATATGGTTTTGTTGTCTTTTGCAGTCTTTTGACATTTAAAAAATATGTTTTTCTTTATTTTCTCGTTTTCTTTCAAGTTTTTCATCTACAATTTATACTTTATTTCAGCTTTAGTCAAATTAAAACTATGTTTAAGAGTTAGTTTTTGTTAGAAATCGAGAAATCCTTATTGCGCATCATTTGAAAGGTCATGCAAAATGTATGGAAATTCACTATTGGAAATTATGGAAGCCCGTTTCAGCAAAAATTAAAGATGAAAATAATAAATCTAGTGTAATAAACTCACACTTTGAGATTTAAAATTGCAATTACGAAAGATACATTCGCTACATATAAAGTCACATTATGACATGTAAAGTCACAATTACTGTATGAGAAACAAAGTTGCTATTTTCAGTAAAAGTTATTTGATCTATTATGATCTAATAATATTGAGTTTTGGCATTTCATAGAGTCTTTCCTTGACTTTCCTCTCCAACAGATAAGACCCATCTGGTCTCCGAAAACTTCCTAATGCCCCATAATCCACTGAGCTGAGCAGCATCCTCAAATAAACTAAGAGCAGTTCTGTCATCAGTATGTACCATCTCATGTCTGTTCACTCCTTCTGTAGGAGCCCGAAGAACCCTCAGCAGAAGATCATCAAACGGGTCATTGGGATCGAGGGTGACTTCATCAAGTAAGTTGTTGGTGGAGTTAGAAATGAACCTCCAAGTTTGATGTGGCCTTTATGATTGATTCTTAGGTTGAAATGGAAAACAGTGTAACTAAAATGTTGCCTGAAAAGTGTTTACACAGACTAACAGGTCTTTGTAGCAGCAGACAAACCGATAGAAGGATCTGTTTGAGCTTATTAAACACATCAATTGACCTATGGCTAAGCCACGCCCCCTCCATTCACTCGGACAAACATTCAACATTCGGGGACAGGCGCACAGTAAGAGACATTTCACAGGAGGCAATTGGTGATATTTGGAGACAGAAAGATTATATATCATCTCATAGTCACCTAAAGGGCATTAACTATGCATTGGAGGGTTATATTAATAATTTTACTGCTGAGAAGGTCGATGAAAAGCTTCAGCTCCAGGCAAAAATGTAAAGGTCACAGTGTAAACGTGATAAACCGCATATCGTTGCCATCACCGTTTGGTGCTACAGTATTTACGTCAATCATTCAGCACAACATTATTAACATTTGTTATCTCGGTTATTTAAAGATACGTTAATGAAGCTAAGATGTACAACGCAGCTAGAAGCTAACGTCAACGTTTTCTAATGTTAGGCTAACGTTGTACCCCAAGCACACCGTTTGACCATTTTAAACTTAAAATGACAAGAAAAAACGAAGCAGAGAATGTCCGAGTGTATTGAGGGCGTGGCTTAGCCATAGGTCAATTGAGACTTGGCCCTCTTTAAATGCTTGTATTGCACAAAATGCGCCATTTAGCTGTAAGTATCATTAAACATTAATGTCTCATCAAACCATTTATGGCAAACAATATTACATCTCAAGGTGATCTTGGGATGCGGTCGAGGAAATCCCAGGCTTGGTGACTTCTCGAGTTTGATTTTAAGATGATTGATATGAAGACAAAGTTAATTTAGTTTTATGATGGCTGATGTTGAAAAACTACCATTTAAAAATCCTAAAATCTCCTCCACGCTCTCACTCTAGAGCGCTCACAGCACTGCCTGCAATGGATATGAGCTATTGCTATGTCAGAAAGTCATCTTAAATATAAAACAAAGACTGCAGCAGCTGTGCGAACATTAATTATTGATCTTAGATTTAGAGAGCGAGGCAAGAGCCAAATGCAGGATTGGTGGATACATGTTGCTGGTCAACTGTAAAATAAACAATGAAAAATGAAAAATAGCCTGGTTTTCCTGCATTAAGAGCAATCAGAATCCATTAGTGTGTTAACACATTTTTTTTCACCCCTTGAACAGAACGCTGGGTTATAAAAACCGTTTTGTAAGAGTTCCAGATGGACATCTGTGGATCGAGGGAGACCATCATGGCCACAGTTTCGACAGCAACACATTTGGACCGGTAATCAATTAATTGCTTGTTGAGAACAAAATCTCTAGTCAAGATTGAAGGATGGAAACAAGTTATATCTAGTGGCCCCAATTAGGAATTAACTCTTTTTAACAGTATAATAAAGCAACCACCAAGTATGGCGAAAGCATAGCAATGCCATGGGAACCACCAACAACATGTCAGTGAGTGTCACATTACACGCAACATTTTTGAACATATTCAAACACATTTTTTAATGGATTATTTGATTTAGTATCTAAAATTACCTCATCTATCATCTAGTGGGTGATATCAGATTGCCTCACAAACTGAAGAAGGCCTGAGAACCGAAACGTTTTTGTTTTCCTCCAAAATAACAAAAGATTTTGAATTTTGAGTGTGAATCATAACTGGATTCTTAAAGGAGTAGTTCACTTTTAAAAAAAAACTTTTGCTGATAATTTACTCACCCCCATGTAATCCAAGATGTCTATGTCTTTCTTTCTTCAGTCGAAAAGAAATTAAGGTTTTTGATGAAAACATTCCAGGATTTTTCTCCATATAATGGACTTCAGTGGGAACCAAATGATTCAAGGTCCAAAAGACAGTTTCAGTGCAAACTGCAAACTGATGAAAGGGCTTTAAAAGATTCCAGACGATGAATAAGGGTCTTATCTAGCGAAACGATCGCTCATTTAAAAAAAAAAAAAAAAAGTTTACCTTTTAAAAGCTCAAATGGTCGCCATTTAATTGACTATGGAAGGCAGATATGCAAAATAAAAATGTATTTGATTATGATGTTATACATTGGTCTGATGTGATGCCACAGGTGAAAACTGCAGTTTCAAAGGATGTTTTCTGAAAGCCACCACCGTAGGCAGATTCAGCCACAAATAGATGTGGTTATAAAAAATTCAACAAAAAGACAAAGATTGCCACTTTCTGGGGACTTTGTTAACAGCCTTGGTGTGCTTGAATACCCCAATAGAGATTGAGGTATTACTGGTTCTTTGATGATGCTTGCTGCACGACTCCTCAGATAGATTATTGAACAGAGAAGTGATTCCTTCTCCCATTTCAACCATATGACATCTCGCTACAGTCGGTACATCAAGATTCGTCCTTGAACGGTTTAAATGTTGGGTTTTGCAGCTTACTTGGACTGAGAAAGAAAAACAAATGGCCCTGTCTGTTAAGTCACTGACTCAGCATGATTTTGTTGCGTACCTTAAGTACTCGCTGAGGTTTGTCCTCGGGCAGATTTTTAATGATGCTTCTTGTCAGAAAGCAAATGAATACGGTTCTCACTGAACCACATACATTCTAGGTCTCTTTTATTATTGTTTCTCATCCATTACCCGAAACGCATTCTGTTCTCTCCAAAGACCGGCCAGAACATGCAAGGGAGGGAAATTTGGTGGAAAAAACATCAAGTTTTAAATTACTATGCAAATACACTTGTTGGATGGTTCAGGCAATTGCCTTCACTTTTATCAGCAAAGACTGCGCTTTTACCTTGACTTGATGTATAATAATGGAGCGAGATGTGTCTGTTTACGTGTGTATGGAGGGAAAACCGTGTCTGTTTTTTTTTTCAATGCCCTTTTCTTTCTGAGAATTTAGATAATCTTTAATTCTGCGTTGGCTTCTAATGTTGTTGTTTGAAGTATTTTTATTCTAAAAATACTGACAAGACTCCAGCGTTTCCCAAAGCACTGATTGAAAGTTGGGTCACACAATCCTGACCGTGTTTATTTTGCCCACTAAACGGCGAAATGTCAAACGGATTCTACTCAGACGTCCAGTTTTTGGAATTAAAGCAATAGTTCAGCCAAAAATGTCAATTCTGTCATCGTTTAGCCTGTAGGTTTTAGCCTCACAGGGCTGTAGGACTTTCTCCTTGTTCACTTTTTCAACCCCTTCTGTCCTGATTTCATCGAGGGGAGGGTCTATGGGCGGGTAAATCTGTTTTTTTCCCCATATCTTTAAATGTGAAATCACGGCGAACGCTGTGAGAGTGTGTTAGACATCAGGAATGGTGAGAGAACATGTGCTTTACGTTTTCATCTTCAAATCAAACTTAGGTCTCCAGCCAATATCTGGCTATAAATCCCATATTTCCATAATGTTTACACGTTAGCTCAGTAGGCGGAGAGTAGGCGTCTTTTGCAGCGGTTTCGACCACGCGCAATCCAGTCAAATGCGTTTTGGACTACCTCTGCAAGTGGTCGAAAGATGACAAGCTCAAAACGTTTTAGACCCCGTTTACATTTGTAATCTATTTAGCGCCGTCCACTTCGATCGATTAGAGCGCATCTTTACACCAGGTGTAAACATGGCCTAGGTTCAAAACGGGTGACGGTTAACAGGTTTATCAAAACTATATAGACAAGTGAAAAAGCTATCAACAATGTTATCTTTACCATGTAAGGACATAGTAAGATTTTCATGTTTTTGTTCAGTTTAATTTGAAAATGGCAAAGCAAATATCTATCAGTTTATTACTATTTAACTATTTACTATTTTGCTATTTATTTATTATTTAAAAAGCCTAAATTTGACATCAAAATTGTACTGCCTCAAGCAACCAAAAACGTGAAACGACATTTCTCATGACATAGAAACAACGTTGATCTGGCATTGTTTTGCTCATCGAATTAACGTTGAACCAACGTCAGGCGCGCCATTCTTCAAAACTAACGGAAAATCAACTTGAAATCAACATCGTTTCAACGTTAGGAAAGCAAACGTCGATTTTGAGTTAGTTTTGAATTATGGTGCGTCTGACGTTGGTTTGGATTCAATGTCAGTTTGCTATCTGGGAAGTCTATCCGTTAAATTCCTTTAACACAAACTCACAAAGATACTTGATTATGATGAAATAATTTGCGTGTTTAACCAAAAGCCCCATCTGTTGATAGTTAAATAAAGTAATTCATAAGCCTAATATTTATACTGTCGTTGTACTTTTCCCGTCCTGTTTTATGAAGGCCCTCCCACTTGAACATTTCTAGCCATAAAAAATGACCCCAAAAAAACCCACAAGAAATTAAAACTTTACTAAAATAATTCTGGACTGGTAAAATTCTTCTCAGAGCTTCTCTATAGCATTTTAAACTTGTATTGCGGTCTCGCCATGCTGTTAAACCCAAAGATTTGTGAGGTCTGTATCATCCCCTGCGGGTGAGAACATTATCACCCCTTCAAGTCCCTCCAAAACTCGCAGGTATTTACAATACCCCCCAAAGCAAAGGTTTTTTGGGAGCTTGTTGGAATGTCTCCCATGTCCTTCTGGCTATAAAAATCAATGAGGTCCTGTTCTCTTCTAGCTAGAGATATATTGCTTCGTATTCACTAGATGAGAAAAGCATCTAATTCTTGTTCCAGTTGGTCTTTGTTAAACCACAGCCTATCAAAAGCCACTTTCTCCTTTAGAAATCGACTGTTTTGTTTGACTTTATAGAGGTTTTAATGGTAGTTTAGCTTGATGATTGTGATCTACGCAGGTTTCCCTGGGTCTTATCCACGGCCGGGCGTCTCACATCATCTGGCCTCCCAGTCGGTGGCAGCGGATCGAGCCGTCTGTCCCCTCAGACCGAAGACCACTGTTAAACTGGAATGGAGCAACGGACGACAGTAATGATGACTGAAATGAAGGACATCCATAAATTCAGTAAATGCAAAGTCATGTGTTGTGGAATATAGAGATGTTCTTGAAATCATGTGGGTCAAATTTGATCCTAAGAAAGACTATGCAGTTTTTAGTCCCAGTTTAGGCAGATATTGTCAGTTGTACATATTCTTCACTGTTTTTGACCGGTCTGTGCCAGATTGATGATCAAATGACACACAGATAAAGGCTAAATATATTATACACTTTTTAGTAATAATCACAAATGATTTATTTCTAAAGGTCAACGTTATATATGGTTTGTAACATGGATAAATAATCACTATCACAGACAGAATTCCATTACTAACATGCAAAATAGACTGATTATCAGCAAGTTAAACTTATTTAATTTAATGAAATTAATTAATTAAGAAATTAATTCTTGCAAAAATGCAAAAGTCTTCAGTCACATGATCCTTCAGAAATCAATCTGTTTATTTGGTGCTCAAGAAACATTTCTTATTATTGTCAATGTTGAAAACAGTTATATATTATTTTTGTGTAAACTAGTTTTACTGTCACTTTAATGTTTAATGCATTCTTGCTGAATAAAAGTATTAATTTCTTCCAAAACTAATCTTAATGAACTCACATTTGAATGGTAGTGTATGTTAACTGATTAACCGAAAATTGCTATTTAGTAAAAAATATACTCACACACGGACACATATATAGCCTATATATGCATATACAGTTGTGGTCCGAATTATTGGCATATATACACCTACCCATTTTTCATCTTATGGAGCACAAGATCCATAGAAAAATGCAGCCATTTGTGCTTTTACATTGGATCTGTGCAGATGAAAATACTTCATACATAGTACAGAGCAGGTGGATAGAGCAGATATGACAAAAGCAGAGGATTATATAATATTATACATGTGTGGGTTAATATACAAGTGACTAATAAAAGAAAATGCTCTTAAACTTGTGAAAACTTGATGTGGTAATAGTCTGTATGGCAGCTATTTGCAACTTCTGAAACATTTACTAAGTCAAATGAATCCTCTGCTTTTGTCACATCTGCTCTATCCACCTGAAGTATTTTCATATGCACAGATCCAATGTAAAAGCACAAATGGCTGCATTTTTGTATTGATCTTGTGCTCCCTAAGATAGATTTGCACTTAAATGCTATAGCTATGAATTTTCCCATTGCTCTAAGACAGCCTTCCTCGAGGAGGTCGAACATCATGCAAGACTAAACTCGATAGGATTTAATGTGAGTGGCCACAGGTCAATACGGATATTCGCACAAGGCTGTGATGAGTTCAATGGCTGTCAAACATAAATCAACACAGACAGCCCTAGAGCTAAAGTACGCTGGGGAATAGACACAAATCTTAGGATACTGCCGGAACCGAAGATAATGGAGCCGCAGCCATCCTTGATTTTAACGGCGTGTGTGTGCGTGTACACGGCAGAAACGTGTTTTTCACGTCTGACATTCTGCGTTCCGGAGTAAATAAGATGTCTTGCGGTGGTGACGAAGCATGATTTCAATATCAAGCTTTTAATCTTGTCTAGAAGGACACGGTAAATGAGCATGTCATAGCAACCTATTTCAGTGCCCACAAAGCTCTTCAGAGAGGAAGCAATTTCTCATTGAACATGACAACCACATTACATACCCACAAGAGGAAATTGAAGCCCCAAAATTGAATTTACCTTATACAGAGTCAAAGAGATGTGAGCTTTCACATGTTGATGTAAATGCAATCGGAATTGTGCATGTTTCACGTGAAGCTTTGGGCTGATACATTTAGTTTACATCATGTTTTTTTATGTTTTAAATGGGTTTATGATGTTGGGTGGACTGTCCCTTTAAATTTCCTTTTCGTAGACATTGAATTTTGTCATGCCACATGTTCAGGTTAGAATGGCAAACTGTTTACTTTGTTGCTAAAATACACTCAAAAACAGATGAAAAAGTCACAAAGATCAGATATATTTGGGATGCAGTACTTTAGGGAATGTTTTTTTTATATATATTTACTGCACAGCTGTGTGCTTGGCACTGGAATGTAAAGGACTCTATCTTTAATTTGAAATATATTAATATTCAGAGTCAATGCATAAAGATGTACCAGACTGCAGAAACAAATTATGCAAAAAAAAGAGATAAGGATAATCTTTTCTCGACCCTCAGAGCCACTATATGATGTTGTGCCATTTTAAAATGATTACAGTTCTTATTAGAAATACCAGAAAAGGCTGTATAAACTATAAGTCAAAAGTTGTAAGTTATTACAATTTTTTTTTATGTTTTTGAAAAAGTCTCTTATGCTAACCAAGGCTGCATTTATCTGAAATAATCATAATAATAAAAATAAAGTAAAAACTAATTTAACTATATTTTAAATTGTAATGTATCGTGACATCTATGCTAAATTTTCAGCATCATTACCCCAGTCTTCAGTGTCACATGATCCTTCAGAAAGAGTTGCTGCTCAGTTATTATCAATTATTATTAGTGTTGGGGGGTATATTACAAGTAACCCGAGTTACATCATCAGATCACTTTTTTTTAACGAGTAACGCATTACTTTTTAAATTTACAACAAATAATATCTCTGTTACTTATGCATCCAAAGGTGGATGTTATACTTACTTGTTCAGAATCTGAATGCCAGTATCCACACCGGCGCAGTGACTGACAGCCTCAAAACATTGGATTCATCCGCGCTGTGCCGTGGCACAACCCACGTAAAGTTGATAACGCCGCGAGTAACTGCAATTCCAGATTTCGAACAGAGATGGCGACAAAGATAAAAAAACTACGGACTGCAGCTTTAATTAATGCTAAATCATGTATTTAACCTGTCTTCATTAAGCTATGCGTAAATTTGTATTTCCATCAGCCTGAGGCTTTTTCATTTCACTTTTGGTGTGAAAGAGCCTTTACATTTGTAAAAAAAAAAAAAAAAAAAACTTTTATTTATTTATTTACTTAAAGACAGACATGCAAGCCCAGCCCAGGTGAGAAAAAGTAACGCAAAATTAATGTAACGCATTAAGTAACCTGCTAAAAATAATACATATTCGTTTACTATGCAAGACAACGCAGATTTATGCAATAAATCTTCATAATGGAGTAGAAGACCAGAACACGTGTGTGTTCCAGACGTGTGTGTGAGGCTGAAAGTTTTGCATCCTCATAAAGAGGCAGTGGGATGCTTTTTCCAGCTCTCTATTCACTCATGATATGGCAACAGGCTGCAGATTCAGACTGACCCAATTAAAACCCCGTCCTCAGCTCAGGGCCGCAAGGCAGCTTGCAGTTGTGTGGTTTCACAGATAAGCAACAGAGCAAAGAAGCCGCTGTATTATAACCTGGCTTTTGTGCTGACATCCCCTTAAGGCCTCAGTAATGGCAGCCACAACAGGACATTTGCAAAGGGTAATAAGCTCATTAACTGATTCAGAATGCATGTGGATTTTTGTATGCAATCGGTGCACACTTTGCATCTTCTTGTCTGGACCCTAGGGCATTTTTGAAAATAGGTGATTGTAATAATATATTGGAAAATAGTGGTTTTTGATGGTTGTCTCAGATGTGGCATCAATTCGAGATAAATCTTAAAAGTTTTCTCTCCTGCTGGGGGTGTGAAGTTGAACCTTCTGTCTTTCATTGCATAGCAATTAAAGAGCAGGGAGAAATGCTCCATTACAGGTCAAAATTGAAGTCGGCATGAAACAGAAATTGTGATAGTCTTTTATCCCCTAGAGAAACGGCTTCTTGAAGAAAATAAAATGTTTTTATCCATCTGGAATTGATTGGATGGTTGTGGTTTGCTATTGGTGCACATCTCATTTGAGTGACAGGATCCCGCCCTCACGCCAGTAAACACACCATCAGAGAAGAGAAGAATCGATTATTTTATTTAAAGATTATGAGGTACATGAAAAAATTTTAAATGATGTGCACGGCTAAATTTATTATTAGTAGCCTACTGCAATATTCCATTAAAAAAACAAGATTGTCGATTATGATTTCATGGGGACTTTAAAGCAAAATGCAATTCCTATATTTTATTGGGATATTGATTCATGTAAATTCTTTCGATGGTATATTCATCTCTCTAAAGCAGTTTGCTACCAGCAGAATCTGTTTAACAAGTTTAAAATAGTGAAGCAGTGCCATCTTGAGGCTGAATGGAGACATCAATGGTGGTTTTTAGTAACATTCTTAGCATTCAAGTGTTGATTTTTGTTTGTTTGTTTTTTGCTATTCTCCTGCTTAGTGCTATTTTCTTTAAAAGGAAAATTAGATTAAAAAAAAAGCTGGTAGACCATCTAACAAGAAGACTATTTATGGAAAAGGACCAAAGTTGTGTCGTAATTTACTCACCCTCATGTTGTTCCAAACCTGTATGAGTTTCTTTCTTCTGTTGAACACAAAATAAGATATTTAGAAGAATGATGGTAACCAAACAGTTGACCATAGTATTTTTTTTCTTCTTCCTCTTCCTATGCTAAGATGGAATCAATGGGTGCTGTCAACTGTTTGGTTACCCATTCTTCAAAATATATTATTTTTTGTTCAACAGAAGAAGGAATCTCACTGATGTTTTGAAACAACATGAGGGTGAGTAAATTATGATAGAATTTTCATTTGTTGGGTCAACTATCCCCACTCGCTGGCCTGTGTGATACGCGTCCTCCAGGCCGGTAGGTGGCGCTGCGCACACTCAACTTAGTCCTTTTAGAGAAGTTGTTTTGAAAACGTCTGTTCTGTACAGTAGCACAGCAGTGTTCATGGTGTTCATACAGTGGGGAAAGGGATTCAATCGTCTTTCTAACCAAAAGGCCAGCCGGGTTGTCTTCATCATTGGTAAGTTTTTTTTTTTCCCAATGCGTTTTTTTGTCTTTTCTCGGGTTTGTCCTCATACAATGAAAAGAGTCAGTCCGGTTTGTCTGTGCTAGGTTTGTGCTAGTAGTGCTAGTAATAAACACATCATTTATTTTGAGAATGTTTCAGGATAGGACAATTAGGATAAAATATAGATTAAATAAAGCAAATGTTCGTTTATTAGTGAGACAGCACATCTGTGAGCCTTACGTGTCAATTACAGTTTGGTGGGTCGTTAAAACTATATTAACTTGGCGATACTAACGTTAACTGTTACTAAAACAGTTTAAAATTGAGTAAATCGTTGACCACTGGCCATTGCAGTATTTTAAGATATGATTATGAATGTTTTATTGTTAAACTTAATCTAAGTTAGTGAAAATGCAGATTTAATAAATATAATATTTAATACATCTTATATTTCTCAGCGTAACATCAATTGAAAATGGAAATTATTGAACATTTTAATGACTAATAATAATATGAATAATGTGAAATGATTAAATCAAAAGCAGCTCCACAAGATGAAATGAACTGAATTTTTGGCATGTAATAATAATTATTTTTTTTTTTTCAGATCAGCCTGTTGCTGTGCCCTTAGGCCAGCGTCTCAAATGAACATGTCCCTTGCTCAAAGAGTCCTCCTGACATGGATCTTCACACTCATCTTCCTAATTATGCTGGTCCTCAAGTTAGACAAGAAGATCACCTGGAGCTGGTTCCTCATCTTCCTTCCTGTCTGGACCTTTGATCTTATTCTCCTTCTCATGCTCATTGTCAAAATGGCAGGCCGCTGCAAGCCGGGGTTCGACCCTCGCAACGGGACGGAGAACTTGAAGAAGCGCGTGTGGTACCTCGTGGCCATGCTGCTCAAACTGGCGTTTTGTCTGACTCTCTGTGCCAAATTAGAGAACCTAATGAACATCTTGGTGAGCTCGGTTTGCATCCCTCTGTGGGCTCTGCTCATCGGGGCCATGGTGGAGCTGGGCTACAACGTTTTCCACTTCAGAAGAGACTGAACATATGAACGGTACTCTTTGAAAGCCAGCAGAGAAGTCTTTACTGTATTCTTCAGGAGTAAAATCATCTTGAAAGTAGATGTTATTCATAAGTAAGGGAATATATAGCGGACAATAAGAATGTACAGCTGTTTAAAGCTCTTTATCAGGAATTGCTTGTTTCTTTCAGGCTCAAGGATGAAGCTGAATAGCCTACGTTTCGTGTTCACAATGATGCAGGGAGGTTAACAAATTTTGGCTCAGTGGTGAGTTTCCACTCAGGTGACAGAAATGACTGATTGTGAATGTTGCTTAGAATATTTATTGCATTTTAGTGAAACACTGAGATCATTAGCAGCACACCATAATGGAGATTTGAAAAATAACAGGTAACGTGCTGCACACACACTGTTTTTTCAACCAGTACTGTAACACAATGTGGTTTGCTAACGGAAAAGACGTATGGTGTATAATTTATAAGTCTGTCTGTCTTAATCATACACTTATTCGTTTTGCGTCGCAGAACTCGCGTAATACATGTTTACGAAATTTTATTTTCTCTTGAGAGTGTGTAAATAATAAAAATAAATAATAACATCCTTGTGATTAAAAGATACACATTTGTTTTATTTATGACAGCTTTGTTCCATCCATAAGTGCATAGTTATATTTACAGATGTTTTCATGATCATCCAGAGGTGTTAAAATTCAGCACACAACTTTCAATTTTTCTTGAGATTAGAAATCTGTATTATAACTTGCTTTGTACTTAAATTTCATTATTTATTCAGTAAATTTTAAGTAATTATGATCCTTTTTTACTGAATTTGAAATTTCCTCTTATTAGAAAGAATTGTCTGTACAATGTACTTTTGGGGGTTTACAATTACAATGTTTGAAAATAACACTTACACTGAAAATAATTGAAAATTACAGATGCTTTAATTCAGCTATTAAAAACTGACAATAAATAGTGCATATATCCATGTAAACATAATTATGAATTGGCCCAGACCTACAACCATTTTGGTATTTTCTAAGTAAAAAAAAATGTAAAAGTAGCAGAATCTGTAAATAGCATTGTTTTATGCAATACAGTATTTATAAAGCAACACAAGAGGGCTCAGTTGTGTAAACTAATGCATATGTGTACAGTTCAAAAAACAACATAGATACAGAAACATTTTGTCAATGTTAATTCAAATCCCGACAATTTACTATTATACATCAGTAACACAAGAGTGTACTTTACTTACAAGGGTGGTACAAGTAAAAGTATAAATACCTAAATAAAAAATTACTCCAGTAAAAGTAGAAAGTCCTCCATTCAAACATCACTTGAGTAGAAGTACAAAAGTATCCGATTTGAAACGTACTTAAGAACCGAAAGTAAAAAGTAAATATTCAAATTAACTGTAAATATCAATAATTAAGCAGATCAATTGTTTTGCGAGTGTTATGCAATGTTTTATTTAAACAAATGATAAGATTAGATACTGCAATTAAGAATTTGTTAGTTAGCTGTTTACAAGGCATTTTGTTAGCTAGCTGTTTCAATATGAAATCACTTGGCTAACAATAGTAACATTAAAGCAACACTAAAGAACTTTTCCTCTGCGGTCGCCCTACAGGTTGGAAGCGGCATAGTCCGTTACCGCTGTTGTAAATTATTTAGCCTACCGCAGCCTACTGCAGTGCACTGTTTATCCACTGTGTATCCAGAACTGGCTTTAGAATGAATGTTGTCCAATTGTAACGCTTGCCGTAAAGTCAAATTTGTAAAGTGAAGTGATGTGAAGTGAAAGTAGATGCAAATAAAACATACTCAAGTAAAGTACAGATCCCCGAAAAAACTACTTAAGTAAAGTAACAGAGTATTTTTACTTTGTTACTTACCACCACTGTTTACTTATTAGTTTGCATAATGTTTAGGTCTTATCATCATTCGAACAGTCTTAAAAGATTGTCTTTCATTGGTTGGGTAATATTCCATTGTAATGTTGTGCCACGTACCCCAAAATATCCCATTACGTACCCCTTTGTACTTGGATTGATAATATTTCCCATTTAAGTTTGCAGACATGCATGAATCAAACCACCAGCCAGAGCTGTAATAGGCCCCACAGTTTCCAGAGGGATACTGGTCATTGTCTCTGTCTGGTGTGGTAAAAAGCTTCTGGTCATGATTGAATTTATTACTGAACTGCATGGCATTACCGGCTGTACCGGAATAGCCACCGATGGACAGGCGGTATTGTTGGCTTTCATTGGCTACATGGAAGTGCTCATAATGGGCATATTCTCTGACACCCTCAACGTCTTCGAGTTCTATTCGCAATGACATGTTTTTTGCTTTTGTCAGCAAGTGAATCTTGTCATTGCCAAGCCAAAACTCCCCTATTAGTTTACCAAATCCATTCTTGTACTCGTCCCAGGTGCGATTGAAGCTTGTGCTGCCGTCAAAACGCTGCTGAATCAATGTCCAGCCCCCACCAGAGGTCTCCATGTCACAGAAAACAGGAAACGTGCTGTTTTTCGGCCGCGGCGTAACTCTGTATACACTATTCCTTTGCGATTTCGTAATGTAGTCAGCGCAGTCTTGTGCAGGTCCTTTTTCTGTTGGCAATAAAAATGATGTTAGGTTACCTCACCCTCTGTTGATGATAAATGCTATCATAATGTGTAAACAACCTAAGTCTGCATGCTTACATTTGGTTAAACATCTTATGGAGGATTTATTTTCCAATTGTCATCTAAAGAACTATAGAAGCCTGTAAGGTTTTTTGTTGTTATAAAACTGCTTTGAAACCAGATTTATTTTGTAAACCACAATACAAATTGGGTTGAAACATTCAGCTGAAATCTGGATCATATTAATTTTTAAAGGAACACAGGGCAAGATGCACTGAAATTATCTATCCCCAACAAAAAAAAACTGCACTCGGTAGATAATTCTTAATATTTAATTTAAGAGATATACTAAGGCTGTATTATACATGAAAATGTGGAACATCTGGATGTATTTACTCACTGTACATTGAGCAACGAGGCCAATTTTTTTCATCCAATCACTGGACATGCATATTTAAGCAAGGGATGGTACTGAACTTATAGTCTTAATGGATTAATTATGCTTTGCTCTAAAGTTTTTGACTTTGACTCTTTCCTCAAGCTCAACAAAGACACCACATCCTGATACATCAGACAAAAGATGCCTACAGCTGGTCCTCTTCACAAAAACCACAACATCTGCTACTCAGATGAGGATCCATATCCACTTATCCCTGCTATGGAGAATTTTGGAATCCTATCACACGATCAAGATAAAGTGCAGGGTCACAGAACGTGTTACACTGTAAAAACGAATACGATTTATCTAATCAAAAAAAATGTGGCAACAGATTACAAGCAATATTCTTAATTAAACAAATTAGAATTGTGTAATAATTAATCAAATTAATACCTTAAAAATTAACCACTTAAAATGAGTAAAACTTACACCAATCTAAGTCACCATTACACCATTTGGGTGTAAACTTTACTCTTTTTAAATGGTTAACTTTTAAGGAATTAAATTGATTCATTATTACTCAATTCTAATTTGTTAAATTTAATTAAGAATATTGCTTGTAATCTGTTGCCACAATTTTATTGATTAGATAAAGCATATTCATTTTTACAGTGGATAAAATTATTATTATTATAAAATAATACAAATTATTATTATTGCTTTTACCTGTAGTCAATTTTGAAGATGTATCCCTGCATTTGCACTCTCCTAAAACCTTAATCTATACATACATAGTCATAGTGACTTATTTCACTATACTCTAAGCTTTATGTCAAATAAACAAGCACTACTGCCATACTCTAAACACTCTGGAGTGCTTTTTTTCAGCGTTAAATAAAAGTAAATAATCCTTCAACTTGGAAAAAACGTAACAATTAACAACCGGGGTTTGGGGTTGAGAAAATTCCTTACCTCTTTCAGAGTTCAATGGAGGCCTGGTCTGGGTTGTAGACTTTGGGCTTGGTGTAGTGTTGCAATCACTGAGACAGGTGCTGTTGATCTTTTTCTCTACTTGCTCTCTTTCTGTTACCTCATCCGTGACTGCATGTGATTTAAATCCCATAGCTGTGTCTTCAGGGCTGAGTGAGAAAAGCTTTGAGCCTTTAATTTCTTCAACATTTGTAAGCGTTTCCAAAACAACTGGAATTGTGTACCTCCCTTCGCTATAACCATGGTCCATGTCCTCACTATTTGGGTTGGATAATATCTCCCCAGTGTTTTCTTCCAATCTGTCTTTATTAAATTTAGTAAGTTCCAGTTCTCTTGTTGCGCCGATATTTTCAAAGCTTATGGGTGTATCCTGGCTGACATTTTTAGCCATTTCACCTTGTATGTTTGTCACTCTACGAATGTTTTTTGTACCATCTTTATGGTCTGTGTCTGTAAAAGAGAGCGTTGAGGTTGTGAATTGAGTTGGTCCTGGTTTCTCTCTCTGTAAGGTGGATGCAGTTGGCCTTTTATTCCCACTGCTGGTCTTTTCCACTTCAGATTGGTGTTGACTGCTGGTATCAGTGGTTCCCAAACTAAATATCTTGCTTTCTTTCCCATCAATAGGTGAATTTGATACTCCACTTTGAGTTTTAGAGTCTTCTGCATGGCCCCCAATGTTTGATATCAACACAGTCTCACCGTTGTCTCCAATTTGGTACTTATCTTCTTGAACCATATCCAAATCTTGTACGTCACCTGCATTTTGAATCTCTGATTGTGATTTTGACTCTGTAATGTTGTATTTTAACCAATGATTATCCAATACGTTTGACCTCGTCACCTGCGGGATGTGTTTGATTTCTTCTTTTTGTTCTTGTTCTACAGTAGATGTTGTAGCAGTGGGACCGAAGAATTGAGTCACTGTGCTTACCTTTGTCTTTAAGCCTTGGTTTATATTTGTCTCAGTTTGAGAGATTGGCTTCCTCATGTAACTTTGTTTTATAATTCCAGTGCCATTTTTCCTGGCTATTTTGCTGCCTCGGACAGGAATGGACATCTTTGAAGGTACTCTAATAGTCCTGTTTCCTGACAGTTTGTTTATAATATTAGGTTGTCTTAGTTTGGGGCCTCTAGGTGAAATCACAGTTCTTGGATGTATCTCAGGTTGTCTTAGTAGGTTTGGCATCACATATCTTGTGTTGTCTGGACTTACTTCATGTATCTTGCTGATGTTCTCGCTATTCTTTGCCGGTTCCTCTTCAACTTTAGCTTTGAGTGGAGTTATTGAAATTCTCCTTGTCCCCTGGCCTATCACAGGTGATTGAACTGTACCGGGCAAATTCGCTGTGCTATCTATCAATTTACTCTTTACAGTTGGGACAAGGTTAGACTTCACTAGATCTTTTTCCAACAAGATGGCTTTCCTGTGCCTTGGGATGTCCTCTTTCACTGTCCCTGCACTCTGTGAGTCAATGGCGATGTCCTCCTTTGCTGCTTCAATGAACGTTCCTGGCCGCATCTTATCTTTAAGATCTCCTGACAGTGGATTAACTGTCCTTTCATTCAAAGTGATGTCAGCTTTATCTAAAATGGTGGAATCAATTTGTCCATTATTAGTTTCTGTGTTTGGGTTTGGATATTTTTCATTTTCCACCTGTCTGCCTCGGAAAGGCAGGTCCTCTCTATCCACTTTGGAGCTAGTCTCTGCTTCTCTACTAATAACTACCAGACTTTCACTCAGTCCCGCATACTGCTTTTCCTCTTTAAATATGTTTGGCTGTTCAGCTTGGTTTATAACACTAGAGATTGACTTATTTGTGGCAATGAGACTCAAATCTCCTTGGTTTTCTTTACTATGTTTTTTTGGAAGTCTTCCAATCTCAGTCTTGTTTACCTTTCTCAAATCGTCCTCAATAAGTATAGTGACTTGGCTTGCATTTTTCAGGGCATGTCCATCATCTGTTCTGGGACCAGAAACCCTTCCGATGTCTTGTTTGTTCTGGTCATCTGTTGACGGGATCAGTCCACTGATTACACCAGGTTTTTTGTTTGCTGCATGAGAACTTGTTTCCTTTACCCTCATAACGCCACTTCTCACTGGGGAAAATCCAGTCCCTTCTTGCTCAGTCTTGACCGTCATGTCCCCAGCTTGTGGATTAGTCTTCCTCACCAAAGCAGGGTTCTTCAGTCTGTCTTCATTGTTAGCCTTGACAACTCTACTGTTTATGTAGGATCCCTTTGGCCTCAATTGTCCATGTCCTACAGGAAACGTTACAACCCTTCTGTTCCCTGCTGATGCGCTTAAATCCATTCTCTTAGCGTTAGCATCTCTTGAAATGCTGCCTAACCTGTTCTGATCAGGCACATTTTGCACTCTTCTTCTCGCCGCCAGGATGCTACTGATGTTCTTTACATGCCCATACCTGTGGCTGTTTGGCTGTAGTTTCCCATGGGTTGGGAATTGCACAACATCCTTTTTTCTAGGAAGGGATGGTTCCATTAATTCGCTTTGCTTAGGCTTGAGTTCCCTCTCTTCAGGTGTAGGTGAGGCCACCAGTTTGACCTCAGGTATATCCTCTGCTGTATCATCAAGCGAGAGGTTAAATATTTTTACTTCCCTGCTCATCTCAGATCTTTGATCTGTGGTGCCTTGGTTTAGATCAATCCTCTGATCAATGTTCCTTCTCTGACTTACCAGAATGGACTGATCAAGCCTCTTCACGCCACCCTTGACATTTCCTTCACCTTCTGATGTGTCCCTTTGCGGTAGGGTTGAAGTGAAGATCCGGACAACTTGTTCTCCACTTTGACTTTGTGTCTCCTTGATGCTGAAGTTATGCCTTAGACTTTGAGGTCTCTTTTCCTCTTCTTCGCTGTGGTCCTTCCATTCACCCCTCTCAATAGTATGCCTGTCCTTACATTCTTGGCAGTCCTTCCTCAGCTGGTTCACCACTTCCTTTAGGTTGTGCAGCTCCTTGGCCATTTTGTCCAGCTCCATAAAAGACCTGGGAAGCTGGATTGAGAGAGGAGGGAGGGTGAGTTGATAAGGGCACACGTTCTCCTCGTCCCCGCAGTGCCCCAGGGGATTCAGCTTTACCCATGAAGCGTCCTCTGAGGTTTCTGGGCAGATGTCACACACAGAAAATGCTAACAGGCTTCCCCATATGTAAAATACAGCGAGCCACATTGTGTCCTGTTCGGTGAGCAGGTTGTCAGTGTCGAGGAGTGTGAGAGAGAAGGAACAGGAGGGATTGGAGGACCACCTCCCTTTATAGAAGTACGAGAGCTCAGAGAGGGGCGATGCTCTGTGATGACTCTCAACAAAAAGAGTCACAAAGTAACAGCCTCTTTGCAGAACGGTTAACAAAATATTGTGTCTTAATAAGCAAAAGCTTATTAAAAAAGGGAATGATTATTGACAATTTTTGATTATTGACTTTTATTTTACAAATATATATGTATTTTTAGATAAATTATTATGTATAGTATTTTAGGATATATATACATATAGTCTAAGAAGAATGCAAAAAAGTCTCTTTTTCCCCCCCAGTTAAAATGTCTAAAAATACTTAACTCAGAATACATTTAACACTGCACATACTTGCTTACCCAGAGAATGTATCTTGAATACAGTGTATTTTGTCTTATTGCACTGGCTGTTGAAATATAAAAAAGTTTAAGAACAATAAAATATGCTAATGTGATAAGACAAAATGCACTTGTATTAAAGATAAAGCAAAGTTTTAATATCTTGCAAAGTTGCTTCTCAATTAAACTGATCTTGATTTAAGGATTTCCAGATTTTAATGAAAAAACAAGATGAAAGTACCTAATTATTATCATGATTGTTATTTTTGCAACGTTTTAATTGCCATGGTGTCTCTGTTTTATGCATACTTGGTTTCCACTGGTCTCTATAAAATGATTACCCTTAGTTTTATTTCGATACATTTGATTGATACATTTGTTTTGATTTCTTGCACTCTGCTCTATGGTTTGTCTTATTATTACAGTCATTGTTGGGTTAGGGTTTTCTTTTCTCTTAAAATTTTGATTTCTCAAGAGACACTGTTGAAATACCAGCAATGTTGTGAATGTACTGTTAAACAGCACACACATTTTATTTTCATTTTTTAACATTATTTCAAGCTTTTTAAACCCATCAGAACTGAGAAGCAGAATGTGATTCGTCAAATTCATTTGTGTTGGCTCACCCTGACCTTTAATCTAAATCACAGTTACGATCAGTCTTTAATCTAGAACATAATGCATTCTCTGCATGTGTCATTTCCTTTCTCACATGTGCAGATATGCATATGTGTGAGAATTATGCTGGCAGCAGCTTCTCAACATCCTGCCAATAAAGCAGCATGTCCCACACACAGACATATGCACCCAAGCCACAGAAGTTTCACAGTTGCATTGGAGTTCTAAAACGTGACTAAATGTCTATTCAGATTGGACTGTACTAGGTATTATTTGTGTTTCTTTCACTTTCATTAAACCATGAATTGAACAAGCCTGTATTTTTCCCACAAAACCAATTTTGAACCTGAAAATTACTGCTTTCAGGCATCCTCTGAGAACTCTAATCCCACCTGGACGGGAGTGTCTGTGATTACGGTATTTATACAGTAATTTATGATGTTGTCAGACATTATTCCTTATTTATTATATCCATATGTTATTTGAATGTAATTTTGACAAACATGTTCTCAGATATTGGGAGATTGCATGACAACAAACAGCTGCCAGGGGTGTTACCAAGATGGCCACCGAGCAGAGTAAGTTGCCTTCAAAGCATTTTGGTAATTTAGTTAAACTGCAGAAATCCAAATCCCATTTGAAAGAGCACATGTATTGACACGCGTCCTTTGTTAACATCAAATGTTGATGTTAAAGAGATGTGGCAACCCCACATCAAACTGAAAATGTCATTACGAGAAATGTTGTAACATTCGTATAAACAATGGAGCCATAGTAGCCCAGACGTTAGGCAAGAGTTGAAAACATTGAGTCCAAGTCTCTCTAATTTCATTAAAAAAAAAAAAAATCCCCTCACCAATGTTTACAATGTCAACCTGTGTCCAAACAGAATTGATCGTCTTTAAAGAATCCTTTTTTTATAGCGCTCAGCAGTGGATGTATTATGAGTCAACTCCCAGTTTTATTACCGCTAATCAGAAAAGCCTTCCCATTTATAGGCAGGACTGTTATTATTTGGTGCCCTTTATGATGTCACCGTTTGAAATCCTTCTGGGATGGTTCAGCCCATCGGTGTCTGTGTAAACACTTGAGATTTTCCATAAACCATTTCACACAAACATTTGACCTGCCGGTTGGGTTCGAGTACCACATTAGTGACTGCTACTCTGACACATTTGCATGATGTAGTAGTGCTTATGTAATTTTGATAAAAGAACAGACAAGTGACTCTCAGACTTTTCTAACAGTTATATAACACTAATGAGGCAAATTCTGTGGGAAACCCAATGCTGAGTGAATTTGATTTGGCCGCTTTTAACCAGATTTTTAAACTGGAGGAGGGACATCTGGAATTGATGGTTACAGTGCATCAACAACAGATAACGTCAAGACCGATTGTTTGCATTACAAAAGCCTTGACTTAATTAAACCGTTGGCTAATGCTTGTAAGGATTCATTTCATTGTTGCATGCAATGAGACAGGCGACTTCTTGACTTCAGGCTTTTGTTTCTCGGTGATGAATATCTTGGAATCAATTTAAACAGTTTAATTGTAAATTTGTGCAGGGCTTTAACCCTCCAATCTGCACAAAAGTTGTAATGTAATAAATATGACAAATCAAATATTGGGATCATTTACGGTGTCAGATTAAACCTACATAATTACAGAATCTTAATTTTGGGGTGAACTATTACTGTAGCGATAAGATGAGGGTGAGTGGAAATTTAGTGTAGGCATGTTTTTGTTAAGTCAGCTGTGATTTAAAACAGATGTTTAGTTACTCTGCCAATCAATGACGTTTTCACCGTGGGACACAGAGAGTGTATATTGTACAGAGTAGAACATACAAATCATTTTAATTTCTGAATTTCTTCTCTATTGGCCACTGCTACACAACAGCTGCAAAAAATACCATCAAATCTCAAAATAAAGCATTTAAAGCTTTCGTCAACCGGACAGCGAAATTTTTGAAAATGTCAGCAAAAACTATAAGTTGCTGTAGCCACGCCCACTGTGAAATTTCATTGGTCCAGAATGTGTATTTATGTTTTGCTTAATGGCGAAATGCATATCCCAACACAAGCAGTAAAAGAAAACTTCAGAGAGTGAAAACACAGATAATACATATTTATATACATACACATTTATACAAATTCAGAACACCCATACCCGTGTCTTTTCTCTTGTTTTCTTTTTAATTGTTTTGTCTTTGCTTTTTTAGTGGACTATCCATCTTTTATTGTAATTTTAATACACGAAGACAATAGGCCACAAATGCAACATAAAAAAATCCACTTTGAGAGAGAGAGAGACACACAATGATATCCATGTTTATGAGAGTACATAAAACCAGCAATGAGCTCTCAGAAACTGGTTATCAGGATATGATATGAAGATATTTGGGAGCCTACAATGTCCTGTCTAAGAGCTGCAAGAAAACAACTATAGCCTCAGTAAGCGAGAACTGTAATTTCTTGCGCAAACCCCTCGATGACTCCTTCATGAGCACTGCAAACTGTTTTCACATGTATTTTATGTCTATTCCGTGTAGCAGCTGTTAATTGGAATTAAAGGACATTTAGAACCTGATTTTTTTCCACCGACTTGGCGTCAGGTGTGACAAATAGACATCACTAACTATAAATGTTTACATCATGCTCTTGAAGGTGTCCTATAGGTCTTCGGTAAAGGGGAAGGGTCATCCATTGAAGTATAACCAGTGCAAGACGCTACAGTACCTAAACGCAGAATAGACTGGGGTCCGACAGTCTTAATACTGAGTGCAGTTAAATTAGCATAACACTTTTTTAATTGTTTAACGACAGTTTGGCATTCAGTTATGTTTATATAGCACCACCCATTGATCAGGTTAACATTCTAAATTTGTTTTTTTTTTTTACTCAACCATGATGACATATCAAGAGAACGAAATTAAAATTGCATTCACGACTCAACTAACACTGCATATTTTCAATGCTGCACCAGTATTAAGACTATAGACTGTTACAGACTCTTTGAGGGCTCCGGTTTAGTTCAGGTGAGAGGTGAGGGCAGAGAGACAGTGGAGGAAGCTGAAGGGTTTCATCAGGGCCAGTTAGGTTCTGGAGGTCCAGTGCAGGGTCCAAGGATCCTAACTGCAGCTCCACACTGACGCACCATCCCAGGCTCCCACTAAAACCCAAAAAGGATTACAAACTTGTGAATCAAATCATATGCAAAACGTTTTGATTCAAGTTTTCATTTGAAACATTGTTACTTTAGTGTGAATATTGAATGTTCATTGCAAACAATCTGCCTGATATTTGTAATATCAAAGAATGTTTCAAATAAAAAAATATACACCGTTAGTGAGATTATACCATAGAATATTTTTTTGTTATTGCAGAAATAGCCTGTTATTGCAGATTATAAGCCATAACAAAAGTTTTTTGATTGACTTTTCCACCGTCGGGCCAAACCGTTCTCATTGTTTTACTGTCCCATTTCTTGCCGATCCGGCCCAGTCAGAGTTTTTTGGAATGAAATACAAGTGCGTCAGTCATTGAGTTGATACAGATGATATGAGATGTAAATAGAGCATCACAGTCCCGCCCACAGCCGGTGCCGGAAGTAAGAATTCAATATAATTTCTCCATTGACATATAATATAAGCCATAATAACGTAACCTAGACTTAAAACCAGCTATGGCTGTACTAAACGATTGTATATGCTCATATAAACGCCAAAAGTTCATGGGGCACTAACCTTGTTTTAAGATAAATGCCTTTAATTCCAGATGTCTTGGATAAGTACTTCATTACCCACAATCCTGAAAAATCCCACAATCCCACAGTAATGCATCCTTTTACATATAAACTTCAGTAAATCAAGGAAAAGGAGTTTCCCTGCACAATCACTATATATAAAATTCACTAGAGGAAAAAGTTCATGTGGCCGTCGTCAGATTTGAAAGTCACTCAAAAGGCTTTTTCACATTGGCTTTCAGGCGACTTTAGTGAGGCGCGGTGGTTTATGGGAT